GCCCCCCCGGGCCCTCCTCCGCCCCCCGCTCCCTCAGGGCTCACGGGAAATGGAGTCCGCGCCCTGAGGGGGGAGACGCCGGCAAATGGCGGCGGCCGCGCGCGCGCCCGGCCCGCTCTCGCGAGAGCGCAACGCTCCGCCAATGGGCGCTCTCGCGAGATCTCGCACCGCCCTCGCTCCCTCCTTCCTTCTCAGCTCCTCCCGCCGCTCGCCTTTCCCGCCCCCGCTGCGATTCTCGCGAGATCTCCCATTGAAAGGCGCAGGGATCTCGCGAGACCAGGCTCGCCGCAGCACCGCCTTCCAGCCCTCCCGCCACAGCGACTCTCGCGAGATCTCCCATTCAGAAGCACTGCGGCCTCGCGAGACTTCCTTGCTTTTTTTCCTTTTTTTTCCCCCACCCTCACGGCCGCTTCCTTCCCGCCCTCCCGCCACGCCAAATGTCGCGAGATCTCCCATTGAGTCGAACTGCGTTCTCGCGAGATGCGTCCTTCCCCCGTCACGCCAAGTCTCGCGAGACTGCTGCGCGTTTCAATGGGCGCTCTCGCGAGATCTCGGCCCTCCCCTGTCCTTTCCTCGCCTGCTCCGCTTGCTGCTCCGTCCTGCCCCCCCCCGCACGCGAAGTCTCGCGAGATTGTAACGCTTCCCTACGGGCTTTATGGCGGTGTTTGAGCCCCCTCCTTCCTCCCTCCCTCCGGCCTCCTTCAGGCCTTCCTCCCCCGCCCTCATCCCCCTCCCGCCACACGACGTCTCGCGAGAGCGTACCGCTTCTCTACGGGGACTCTCGCGAGACTTGAAAGCCCTCACGAACTGAGGCTTGTCTCTCAACCCCGCCTCCTTCCCGCTCTTTACGCAAATCTCGCGAGATTTCCGTTGGTCTCCATGGGTGTTCTCGCGGGATTTGCCCCCGCCTTTCCCTCGTCCCCCCCTTCCCGCCGCTCCAAATCTCGCGAGACCGCAGAACGTCTCCATGCGAGATCTCGCGAGATCCTAACCTCGCCGTCCCCGCCTTCCCTCCCGAGTCTCGCGAGATTTCTCCCCTTTTGAAGGAAACTCTCGCGAGATTTCGCCCCCACTCGGGTGTAGGCCACGCCCCTTTGTGGGCGAGGCTTCACCAGAAGGGGCGTGGTGAAAATACGTCATCGGCTCGTTTGCACTTCCGGTCTGCTCCGGCACTTCCGGTGTGGACGCCGCCATCTTGGGCCCGCGGCCACGTGGTGCTCTGCGCGCCGCCATCTTGCTCGGTGGGCGCCGCCATCTTGGCCGTGCCGCGGAGGACGATGGGATCCCCCCGTTCCCAAAAAAACCCGGGAAACTTTTTTTGGGTTTTTTAACATTTTTTTATCCAAACGGAGCCAAAACGGAACGGAAACAAAAAAAAAAAAAAAAAAAATTTCCATTTTTGGCCCCAAAACGCGCGCGGGGGGGAGGGGAGGAGCCCCAAAGGTCACCTGGGCACACCTGGGGCACACCCAGGACTCACCTGGGGCACACCTGGGCACACCTGGGCACACCTGAGCTCACCTGGGGTCACCTGGGGTCACCTGGGCACACCTGGGCACATCTGAGCTCACCTGGGCACACCTGGGTCACACCCAGGACTCACCTGGGGCTCACCTGGGGCACACCTGGGGTCACCTGGGCTCACCTGGGGCACACTTGGGGTCACCTGGGCTCACCTGGGCTCACCTGAGCTCACCTGGGCACACCTGGGCACACCTGGGCACACCTGGGGTCACCCCAAAGGTCACGGCTGCTCCCCAGCCCCTCCCCCATGCCCCAGGTGGCGCCAGGTGAGCTCAGGCACCGGCACAGGTGTGCCCGGGTAGCTCCAGGTGTGCCCAGGTTCCCCCCAGGTACCCCCAGGTGTGCCCAGGTGCCCCCCGTGTGACCTCAGGTGACCCCTGGAGCTCCCAGGTAAAGGTCACGGCTGCTCCCCAGCCCCTCCCCCATGCCCCAGGTGGCGCCAGGCGAGCTCAGGCACCGGCACAGGTGTGCCCGGGTAGCTCCAGGTGTGCCCGGATGTGCCCAGGTGTGCCCAGGTACCCCCCGTGGGACCTCAGGTGACCCCTGGAGCTCCCAGGTGTGCCCGGGTACCCCCCAGGTGTGCCCTTAGGAGCACTCAGGTGTGCCCAGGTGTGCCCGGGTACCCCCCAGGTCTGCCCTTAGGAGCACTCAGGTGTGCCCAGGTGTGCCCGGGTACCCCCCAGGTCTGCCCTTAGGAGCACTCAGGTGTGCCCAGGTGTGCCCGGGTACCCCCCAGGTCTGCCCTTAGGAGCACTCAGGTGTGCCCAGGTGTGCCCGGGTACCCCCCAGGTCTGCCCTTAGGAGCACTCAGGTGTGCCCAGGTGTGCCCGGGTACCCCCCAGGTCTGCCCTTAGGAGCACTCAGGTGTGCCCAGGTGTGCCCGGGTACCCCCCAGGTCTGCCCTTAGGAGCACTCAGGTGTGCCCAGGTGTGCCCAGGTACCCCCAGGTGTGCCCAGGTGCCCCTGGGGCAATCACAGCTCTATCCCAGGAGCTCCCAGGTGTGCCCGGCTCTACCTGAGGTGCCCCCAGGTGTTCCCAGGTGTGTCCTGAACAGCACTCAGGTGTATCCAGGTGCCCCGGGTGTGCCCAGGTCCACCTGAGGTGCCCCCAGGTGTATCCCAGGTGTGTCCCAGAGGCCCCTGGGGTGCTCACAGATGTAGCCCAGGTGCCCCCAGGTCTATCTGAGGTGGCCCCAGGTCTACCCCAGGTGCCCCCAGGTGTGTCCCAAGCACCCTCAGGCACCCCCAGGTGTGTCACAGGCACCCCCAGGTGTGCCCAAGTTCCCCCCAGGTGCCCCCTGGTCTATCCCAGGTGCCCCCAGGTGTGTCCCAGGTGTGCCTAGGCACCCCCAGCTGTCCCCAGGTGTGCCCAGGTGTGTCCCAGGTCCCCCCAAACACGCCCAGGTGTATCCCAGGTACCCCCCGGTGCCCCAGGTACCCCCAGGTCTATCTGAGGTGCCCCAGGTGTGCCCAGGTGTGTCACAGGCACCCCCAGGAGTACCCCCAGGTCTATCCCAGGCACTCCCAGGTGGCCCAGGTGTGCCCAGGTGTGCCCCAGGTCTATCCCAGGTACACCCAGGTGCCCCAGGTGTGCCCAGGTGTGCCCAGGTGCCCCAGGTGTGCCCAGGTGTGTCACAGGCACCCCCAGGTGTGCCCAGGTCTATCCCAGGTGTGCCCAGGTGTGTCACAGGCACCCCCAGGTGTGCCCAGGTTCCCCCCAGGTGCCCCCTGGTCTATCCCAGGTGCCCCCAGGTGTGCCCAGGTGTGCCTAGGCACCCCCAGCTGTCCCCAGGTGTGCCCAGGTGTGTCCCAGGTCCCCCCAAACATGCCCAGGTCTATCCCAGGTACCCCCAGGTGCCCCAGGTACCCCCAGGTCTATCCCAGGTGTGCCCAGGTGTGTCACAGGTGTACCCCCGGGTGTCACAGGTGCCCCAGGTGTGTCACAGGCACCCCCAGGTGTGCCCAGGTGTGCCCCAGGTGTGCCCAGGTGTGCCCCAGGTCTATCCCAGGTACACCCAGGTGCCCCAGGTGTGCCCAGGTGTGCCCAGGTGTGTCACAGGCACCCCCAGGTGTGCCCAGGTCTATCCCAGGTGTGCCCAGGTGTGTCACAGGCACCCCCAGGTGTGCCCAGGTCTATCCCAGGTGTGCCCAGGTGTGTCACAGGCACCCCCAGGTGTGCCCAGGTCTATCCCAGGTGTGCCCAGGTGTGTGCCCAGGTGCCCAGGTGCCCCAGGTGTATCCAGGTACCCCCAGGTACCCCCAGGTGTGCCCCAGGTGTATCCCAGGTGCCCCAGGTGCCCAGGTGTGCCCCAGGTGCGTCACAGGAAGTAGTCGGCCACGGGTTTCTTGGCGGGGATGCCGCGCGTCTCCTGCGGCGCCGCCTCGAAGATGATGAACTCCTTCTGCAGGTGCTCGTCCAGCTCCAAGATGGCCGCCACGTTCCCGCACCTGCCGGGGCACCCCAAACCTCGTTTGCATCTCATTTGCATCTCATTTACACATCTCATTTGCATCTCATTAGTCAGTTTCGGTGAGTTTCCAGCCCACTCTCACCTGGAGACCCCAAACCCCGCCCAGCCCCACCTGAGTGCCCAGGCTCCGCCCCCTTTGAGGCTCACCCCTCATTTGCATCTCATTTGCATCTCATTTGCATCTCATTAGTCAGTTTCCGCCAGTTTCCAGCCCACTCTCACCTGGAGACCCCAAACCCCGGCCAGCCCCACCTGAGTGCCCAGGCTCCGCCCCCTTTGAGGCTCACCCCTCATTTGCATCTCATTTGCATCTCATTTGCATCTCATTAGTCCGGTTTGAATTGTGTTTTGCCAGTTCTCTCCTGGACAACCCAAACCCCGCCCAGCCCCACCTGACTGCCCAGGCTCCGCCCCCTTTGAGGCTCACCCCTCATTTGCATCTCATTTGCATCTCATTAGTTGGTTTCGGGTTGGTTTTAGCGAGGTCACACCTGCCCGGCTCACCTGGACAGCCCCACCCCATCTGACTGCCCTGGCTCCGCCCCCTGTGAGATTTGCATCTCATTTGCATCTCATTCGTTGGTTTCGGGTTGGTTTCAGCGAGGTCACACCTGCCCGGCTCACCTGGACAGCCCCACCCCATCTGACTGCCCTGGCTCCGCCCCCTGTGAGTCTGACCCCTCATTTGCATCTCATTTGCATCTCATTAGTCAGTTTCAGTCAGTTTCCAGCCCACTCTTACCTGGAGACCCCAAACCCCGCCCAGCCCCACCTGACCACCCAGGCTCCGCCCCCTTTGAATCTCACTCCTCATTTGCATCTCATTTGCATCTCATTTGCATCTCATTTGCATCTCATTTGCATCTCATTAATCAGACTCCCTGGGCGTTTTGGCAGTTCTCACCTGGAGAGCCCAAACCCCGCCCAGCCCCACCTGCCTGCCCTGGCTCCGCCCCCTTTGAGTCTCACCCCTCGTTTGCATCTCATTTGCATAGCGTTCACATCTCATTTGCATCTCATTAGTCAGTTTTGAATGGCGTTTAGCCAGTTCTCTCCTGGACAACCCAAGCCCCGCCCAGCCCCACCTGACTGCCCCAAGCTCCGCCCCCTTTGAGGCTCAACCCTCGTTTGCATCTCATTTGCATCTCATTTGCATCTCATTAGTCAGTTCTCGGGACTTTCCAGCCCACTCTCACCTGGAGGCCCCAAGCCCCGCCCAGCGCCACCTGACCAACACAGCTCCGCCCCCTTTGAGTCTGACCCCTCGTTTGCATATCATTTCGCATCTCATTTGCATCTCATTTCCATCACACGTTCACCTCATTAGCATCTCATTTGCATGTTCAGAACGCGCTCTCGGTCTCCTCTCACCTGCAGCCACCGCTGTCCCCCAGCCCAACCCCGCCCCTCATTTGCATCTCATTTGCATGGCACCTCGCCTCATTTGCATACTTGAGGGTGGGGCTCAGCAGCCGCTCACCTGGCGCCTTACAGAACCCCATGGAATTGGCATCTAATCAGCACCTCATTAGCATCTCATTAGCATACCGGCAGCAGTAATTAGGCGCCAATCCCGTCATCCAATCCCTGCCCAGAGCCGCTCACCTGGAGCCTTACAGAACCCCATGGAATTGGCATCTAATCAGCACCTCATTAGCATCTCATTAGCATGTGATTAGCATACCAGAACCACTAATTAGACCCCATTTCAACCCTCCCACCGCTGCCCAGAGCCGCTCACCTGGAGCCCTTTGCCTCCTATACAGCTCCATCATAAATCCCAAAAAAATCCCCAAAAATTCCCCAAAAATTAACACCTAATTAGCGTCTAATTATCACCTCATTAGCATACCGGTACCAGTAACCGGGCCCCATTTCCAGCCTCCAATCCCTGCCCAGAGCCGCTCACCTGGAGCCCTTTGCCTCCTATACAGCTCCATCATAAATCCCAAAAAAATTCCCAAAAATTACCATCTCATTATCATCTCATTAGCATACCGGTAACAGTAACTGGGCCCCATTTCCAGCCTCCAATCCCTGCCCAGAGCCGCTCACCTGGAGCCCACTGATTCCTGTACAGCTCCATCATAAATCCCCAAAAAAACTCCCAAAAAATTCCCAAAAAATTAACCCCTAATTAGCATCTCATTAGCATACCGGTAACAGTAACTGGGCCCCATTTCCAGCCTCCCACCCCTGCCCAGAGCCACTCACCTGGAGCCCATTGATTCCTGTACAGCTCCAGAATAAACCCCCAAAAAACTCCAAAAAAACTCCCAAAAAATCCCCCAAAAATTCCCAAAAATTAGCATCTCATTATCATCTCATTAGCATACCAGTACCACTAGTTAGACCCCATTTCCACCCTCCCAGCCCTGCCCAGAGCCGCTCACCTGGAGCCCTTTGCTCCCTGTGCAGGTGAGCCCAAACCCCGCCTGGCCCTAAGGTAACCTCAATAAATTACCACCTCATTAGCATCTCATTAGCATGCCAGTACCGACCCTTCATTAGCATCTCATTAGCATACTGGTACCGCTAATTGGGCGCCATTTCCACCATCCCATCCCTGCCCAGAGCCGCTCACCTGGAGCCCTTTACCTCCTATACAGCTCCACAATAAATCCCCAAAAAACTCAAAAAAAACTCCCAAAAAATTCTCAAAAAATTAACATCTAATTAGCATCTCATTAGCATACCAGAACTGCTAATTGGGCGCCATTTCCAACCTCCCACCCCTGCCCAGAGCTGCTCACCTGGAGCCCTTTACCTCCTATGCAGTTCCATAATAAATCCCCCAAAAAAATCCCAAAAAATTAACACCTAATTAGCATCTCATTAGCATCTAATTAGCATATCAGTACCACTAATTAGACCCCAATCCCACCCTCCCAGCCCTGCCCAGAGCCGCTCACCTGGAGCTCTTTACCTCCTATACAGCACCGTAATAAATCCCCAAAAAACTCCAAAAAAATCCCCAAAAATCCCAAAAAATTAACATCTCATTAGCATCTCATTAGCATACCAGAACCAGTAATTGGGCCCCATTTCCACCCTCCCAGCCCTGCCCAGAGCCGCTCACCTGGAGCCCTTTACCTCCTATACAGCTCCATAATAAATCCCAAAAAAACTCCAAAAAATCCCCCAAAAATTCCCAAAAAATTAACATCTCATTATCATCTCATTAGCATACCGGCAGCAGTAACTGGGCCCCATTTCCAGCCTCCCACCCCTGCCCAGAGCCGCTCACCTGGAGCCCATTGATTCCTGTACAGCTCCACAATAAATCCCAAAAAAAACCCCAAAAAATTACCCCCTCGTTAGCATCTCATTAGCATCTCATTAGCATACCAGAACCAGTAATTAGACCCCATTTCCAGCCTCCCAGCCCTGCCCAGAGCCGCTCACCTGGAGCCCTTTACCTCCTGTGCAGCTCCATAATAAATCCCAAAAAATCCCCAAAAAAATCCCATGATTTTTGGGGCCAATTTGATGATTTTTTGGGGTAAAATTTTGGGGACTTTTTCGGGTTTTTTTGCATTTCTCACCTGTCCCTTCATTATCAAGAAATTAATTAATTTTTCAGTGAATTTTTCAGTGATTTTTGGGGCCAATTTGACGATTTTTGGGGTAAAATTTTGGGGATTTTTAGGATTTTTTTTGGGTTTTTTTAATTTCTCACCTGTCTCTCAGCTGTCCCTCATTATCAAGACATTAATGAATTTCTCAGTGATTTTTTGGGCCAGTTTGACGATTTTTGGGGTAAAATTTTGGGGATTTTTTGGGGTTTTTCGCATTTCTCACCTGTCCCTCACCTGTGCCCCAGAACTCTAAAATGGAAAATTTCAGAGATTTTTTTGGGCCAATTCGATGAATTTTGGGATCAAACCTCAGGGATTTTTGGGGATTTTTTGGGGTTTTTTGCATTTCTCACCTGTCTCCACCATAAAGATTTTTGGGGTAATTTCAGTGCATTTTAAGGATTTTTGGGGCCAATTTGACGATTTTTGGGGTAAAATTTTGGGGATTTTTTGGGGTTTTTTGCATGAATTTTTCATTGATTTTTTCATTGATTTTTGGGCCAGTTTGACGATTTTGGGGCTAAAATTTCGCAGATTTTTTCAGAGTTTTTTTTGTTTTCCCCGGTTTTTTCCTCACCTGTCCCCATCACAAAATATCATCAAATAAATGAAGTTTTCAGTGAATTTTTCAGTGATTTTTGGGGCCAATTTCTTTTAGGACATTTGGGGTCATTGAGGTAATTGGGGTTGTTGAGGCACTTGGGGATATTTGGGGTATTTGGGGTTTTTGGGGTATTTTGGGGTATTTGGGGTCATTTGTGACATTTGGGACATTTAGGATATTTTGGGGTCATTTGGGACATTTAGAATACTTGGGGTATTTTGGGGCATTTGGGATACTTTGGGGTATTTGGTGTATTTGGAGAGATTTGGGATATTTTGGGGAATTTGGGACATTTGGGACATTTAGGATATTTGCTGTATTTGGGGTATTTGAACTATTTGGGGTATTTGGGGTCATTTGGGACATTTGGGACATTTAGGATATTCTGGGGTCATTTGGGACATTTGGGATATTTTGGGGTGTTTGGGACATTTTGGGGTATTTGGGGTATCTGGGATATTTAGGACATTTTAGGTATTTCGGTCATTTTGGGGCATTTTTGGGTATTTGAGGATATTTGGGAATATTTGGGACATTTGGATCGTTTGGGACATTTTTGGCTATTTGGGATATTTGGGACATTTGGGGTATTTGGGGATATTTAGAACATTTTGGGGTATTTGGGACATTTGAGAACATTTGGGACATTTTGGGGTATTTGGGACATTTGAGAACATTTGGGACATTTTGGGGTATTTGGGACATTTGGGGTCACGGGGTCTGGTCCAGGGTCTGGATGGACGGGGACAGCCCCCCGTGCACGCAGAAAATCTGGGGAATTCCGGAAAATTTGGGTCAGTTTGGGGTTTTTTGGGATGTTTAGGATATTTGGGGTCTTTGGGACATTTAGGGTATTTGGAATATTTTGGGATATTTTGGATATTTTGGGGTATTTTGAGGTATTTGGTGTATTTGGGGTTGTTGGGGATATTTGGGGTCATTTGGGACATTCAGAATATTTGGGGTCATTTGGGACATTTCGGACATTTGTGGTATTTGGGATATTTTGGGGATTTTGGGACATTTTGGGGTACTTGGGGTATCTGGGATATTTAGGAAATTTTAGGTATTTCGGTCATTTTGGGGCATTTTTGGGTATTTGGGTATTTGAGGACATTTGGAATATTTAGGGATATTTGGGATATTTTGGGATATTTGGGGTATTTGGGACATTTGGGGTATTTGGGGACATTTGGGGTATTTGGGGTCACGGGGTCTGCTCCAGGGTCTGGATGGACGGGGACAGCCCCCCGTGCACGCAGAAAATCTGGGGAATTCCGGAAAATTTGGGTCATTTCGGGGCTTTTTGGGGCTTTCAGGATATTTGGGGCATTTGGTGTATTTGGGGTATTTGGGACCTTGAGAATATTTGGGGTATGTGGGGATATTTGGGATATTTTGGGGTATTTGGGGTCATTTGGGTCATTTGGGACATTTAGGATATTTTGGGGTCATTTGGGACATTTAGAATATTTGGGGTATTTTGGGGTATTTGGGACTTTTGAGGTCATTTGGGGACATTTGGGATATTTGAGATATTTTGGGGTATTTTGGGACATTTAAAATATTTGGCATATTTTGGGGTATTTGGGACATTTGGGACATTTTGGGACATTTGGGATATTTGGGGTAATTTGTGACTTTTGGGTCATTTTGGGGCATTTGGGACATTCACAACATTTGGGGTATTTGGGGTATTTTGGGATATTTGGGTCATTTTACGACATTTGGGTCATTTAGGATTTTTTGGGGGCATTTGGCACATTTTGGGGTATTTGGGAGATTTGAAATATTTGGGGTATTCGGGGACATTCAGGACACAGAAAATTTGGGGACATTTGGGGCCAATTAGGGTATTTGGGACATTTTGGGACATTTGGGGTATTTGGGACATTTGGGACATTTTGGGGTCATTTGGGGATATTTGGAGTCATTTGGGGACACCGCTGTCCTGACCCCCTCCACCTGCCCCAGGTGTGCCCCCAGGTGTGCCCAGGTGTGTTACCTGTCCCAGGTGTGTTACCTGTCCCACCTGTGTTACCTGTCCCCAGGTGTGTTACCTGTCCCAGGTGTGTTACCTGTCCCAGCTGTGTTACCTGCCCCCAGCTGTGTTACCTGTCCCAGGTGTGTTACCTGTCCCAGCTGTGTTACCTGTCCCAGGTGTGTTACCTGCCCCCAGCTGTGTTACCTGTCCCAGCTGTGTTACCTGTCCCAG